GGCGCTTCATAGTCATCTGAAGTATGTCTAGTGAAAAAGGAAAATCATACCTCAGAATCAACCATACTTCAGAATTATGCTTACCTCAGTTCAGCAGCGAGCGCCACATTTTCCCTATACAAACGTTGAATTGGAAGCCTGTGTGATTGAAAATATACAATATTAAATATCCTAAGTAAACAAATGAAGACAGATATATCTATTTCCTATATGAAAGTTTCAGTACACTATATAACACTGTTTATATGTAAACACATTATCAACTGGAAATATACAAGATGTTAATGTATCTACCCCTAAGTCATTCAAACAATCCTCTGAATGGTAATGGATAAAACCAAGTCCTTTTTTTTTCAACATCTGTGATTGTGTGGCTGTATGTATATAGTGGTAATAAAAATTTAAAATGTCTTGTATATTTATGCCTTCTTCCATTTAATCAGCAATCAGTCTTACATGTAACAGGGAAGCATCCTGATTTTAGTTACAAGGAGATTTGACTAATAAAGCATTTTGGTAAAAAAACAAAAAAACTGTGACTGTTGACATAAAAGTACAATTAACACCTACTTTGTGTGTGTGTGTGTGTGTGTGTGTTTGTGTGTGTGTGCGTGTGCGCGTACGTGCTCGCGCGTGTGTGTCCGTGTGTCCACATATATATATGTATATTCATATATATACATATATATATATATTCATATACATATATATATATATATATATATATATATATATATATATATATGTATATGAATATGAATATGAATATATATATATATATATATATATATATATATATATATATATATATATATGTATGTATGTATGTATGTATGTATATATATATGTATATATATGTATATGAATATATACATATATATACATATACATATATATATATATATATATATATATATATATATATATATATATATATATATATATATATGTATGTATATACATATATATATATACATATATACATGTACACACACACACACACACATATATACAAATTTATATACACAAATATACATATATACACATATATCTATATATATATATGGGGGCTTCAAAATATTTGTGAAAAAGGTCCATAACTGAGAATCATACGGAACACTTTTGATTTCAGTGCACCTGAACACTGCTGTACCAACATGTTATAACTTATTCAAACATGAACCCTTAAATGCAGCTAATAACGGATCACCGCCAGTTGAAAGTCAGGCACCATTCAAGCAACATGGAACCCAATTCACCAAAATCGAGGCCAGGACAAACATTAATTTCATGGTGAAACCTCCCCCCAATCCCTTGCCCGTTGCTGGGGGCTTAGGAGGTGAAGACTGGTACCCAATGCTGGGGAACTCCCCGCCTTGGGACTCACCCCTCGACTCTTTTTTCCCCCTCCTGCTTTTTCGTGTCCGTCCCTTCCCCAACGCCTTCTACTCTCCACATCCTAAGGTGTGAGAGCCGTGCTGAAAGGATGAAAGACTGACTTTGTACCAGTCCTGAATGGCCTGAGGGAGCCACAGGCATGATCTTCCCCTGTTTCAGTTGTCTAGCTAAAGTTGGACTGTTTCTCTCCCTAACATATTCTAGGCTTACCGTGGCCAATAATGAAAATGTTATACCCTTATAAGGGGCAATGAGGCTTGCCCCTTCATCAAATAGACCCTTCAATTCAAACTCTCCCGATTCCACGATCCCAGGCTCTCCATTGACCACGGCTCCAAATGCTGCAACTATTACCCCCTCCGCAATGCCTACTAATACATTATCCACCCAAGTCAACACTCAATCTCCAGGAGACAATCCTACTCTCCCAACATGCTCAACTTCATCACCTCTGACCTCACAACCTTCTTCATCAACTACCCCATCCTCCCTTATTACTATTTCACAGCCTTATTGTTCACCTCTAAATAATACTACCTCCTCAACACTACTCTTCCGTCCTTCTACTACCCCCATCTCTACATATATCTTAAATACTCTATTTAGCCCAGCCAAATGGGACCGACTTTTTACTCTGACAACACTCTTCTCTTCCTGCAATGTCTCCAAAAATAAGTAGGCAAAGTCTCTTTCCGTCCCCGTCTCGTCACAGTAACATCTCCAGGGTATAGAATTATCAACTCTAATTGATTTTACTGGTAACTCTATTCCTGTAGAACCTCATCCAGCTGTCAATACTTGCACTGGAACTGTCTAAGTCTCCCCAGCAAACTGCCCTATCTATAACAAAAATTGGTCAGATTGTGGAGAAGACTGTGGCTGCCCCATAATGTATTTTATTGGGGCTGTCTGAGGTGGCAACGCTCAGATTCAGACTTGGACTCACTCTGTGTGAAGCCAGACAGGAAGCAAGTCGACGAGGTTTTTCTCTTACGCCATATTCCAGTAATGTCGCTCGATCCGCCCCTCCCCTTCCCTCCCTTCCAAGACGTTCCAATAAACTCCCCATGCTTATCCCTCCTACATCTTACTTCCCCACTTCTACCTCCTACATTCCTCAGTCAAATTCTTTTGCCATTCTAAATCCAGACACTCCAGTCTCTACTACAGTCCCAACACTTTCCCCTGTCCCTCCCTGCAGCAGACAGACTAAACGTTCTACCCCTTCTTCTCCTACCACACATCTCACCTCTACCTTTGCCTCTACTCCTCAGACACTAATCTCCTCTTCCCTCCCTCAAAAGAAAACCTTTTGTCTCACAAAACTCAACATCAATATCCATCCTCCTCCTACTCATATTCCCCCTACACCCCTTCCTCATCCTCCCTCCCAACAAAGCCCATCCCCTAGCTCCAGCTCCACCTGCATTAATTCTCCCTCCATCCCTTCTATCCCTTCCACTCCCTCCTGGATACACACGTGAATCCCTTATGTCACAACCATCCCCGGATCCTCCACCTGATACAGCACCACCTCCCCCTCTCATTCC